TCACTCCTGCATTACCGTGACACTTGTAAAATAATTGTCACTCTGAAGTAAAAATTCTTTTTTTGGGAGGTTTTGTACTAATTTTAGAACAATTGATTCTCCATGACTCAACCCGTTTTTTTCCTCGAGTTTTCCCTCATATAATGTCATTCCGATGCACATTTTTTTGTCATAAAGACACAAACAGTAAAATTTTAAGCCGTGTTTTGTGGGTTTGGCTGGGCAGTACTGAATACCATGACAACGGCCTTTAAAACCAAACATTCGCTCATCTATACATATCAGGGATCCGGGGTCGCATATTGCCGTGATATTTCGGGAAAAAATATCAAAAATTTCTTTTGTTGCTGAAAAATTGGTTTTTTCCCTTTTTTGATCTCTTTCATTTTTTTGTCGCACCGGAAACATCGAAACAATTCTTTGAATCTTTCTCGCTTCATGCCTATTCTTAAAAATATAATCCCGAATTTGTGGCTCCAAAGGCGATCAACGTTTCCCCTTCTTTGGTTTGCCCCAATATAAATCAAAATGCCAAGAAAACATTCAATTTCTTCGAAATCAGTTGGGATCCATTTCCCGTTAATTAGTTCTTCTGCCTTTTCATTTGTACCTTCAACAATTAATTCAATCGTTTCATTTGAAAACATTTTTCTAAAACATTCCAAAGGAGATTTGAAATCTTCAGAAAAAACGGTTTTCGAAAAATTTTCTTTTTCACAAAACTTTTGAAAATCAAAAATCCCAAGTTTTGGTTCGATTTTTGGCCATCCATCCAAATAATCATCTTTTTCTTCAAAAAAATATTCTTCTTCTTCATTTTCTATTTTTTGATCATATTCTTCAACATGATTTTCACAAAAAATGGATCATTACTTTCGTCATCACTTGATATTAAACAATCATCTTGTTGGTATTCACACTCCATGAATTGAAAAAAAGAACAAAAAGGCAATAAAAAAATAATGGTAAAATTTTGTTTATGTATGTCCATTAAGGAAAGGTTCAGCCAATTAAGTGTTAATTATTTATTTCACAATACGTATCATTTGTTGTGAATTGTGTTGGATTGTATTTTTAAATGCTAAATGTTTAAATTGTATTATAATTATAATAAAAGTGCATTTGCCGGGACTCGAACCCGGATCTCCACCTTGGAAGGGTGGAATTCTGCCCTTAGACCACAAATGCTTCTTATTATTTTAAATGATTAAAAGTGATATAACCAATGTGTTTATAAATAACAAGTAATGAAGAATATAAACCCAATTAAAGTAGAGTTAGAAGTCATTCAAGGTATTTTATTTGAAATATTATAAATAAATAATAAGAGTATTGAAATGAGTGATGTAGTTAGTAGAGCAAGAGTGGCCGAGTGGTCCAAGGCGCTCGTTTCAGGTACGAGTCTTTTCGAAGGCGTGAGTTCGAACCTCACCTCTTGCATTTTGTCAATTATATTATTAATAAAATCTAAATTGATTGTGTTTAAAATAATTAATGTATTTAAAATAATAAAATATATAATTTTATATCAAAACTTAAAATCTAATTGTTTCATGTTTGTATAAAAACCCACATTATTTAAATTTATGTTTTTCTAAATTATTTTAAATGTGAAGACCACCTTATTTTATGTTAATTTTACAAATTTGTGTTTTAATTTAAAAAACACTAAAATACATTTAGAAATATAAGAAAAGATATTTGAGTTAGATAAGCAAAGCTAACAATGCTGCAACCATAACCACAAATGCCATATTTGTCCCACTTGAGTATATAAAATAAGTTGTATCTTCTAATATGCATTTATCAACTGGTTTTGTAACAGTTTTTGATGGTTCTCCTTTACAATCTGGCACTTTGTCGTAGGTCAACACCAAAACACTGTCTGAAGTTGCTTGTCTTTTGACAGAAGAAGTATCAGTCAATTTTACACAACCTTCTTTGAAATATTTTTCCATTGGAAAAGCTTCTGTAAGTTTTAAGGCGCATTCTTTTTTATCAGAATAATCAAAAGCCATTGCAGAATACAAAGGAATTCCACTTTGAATTGTCAAATCTTTACCGATATCTATAGTTGGTACTTCAGACCAAGTTTTACAATCTTGTGATTCGTAAGCTTTGATAGTTGAGCCCTCAATTTCAACTTTGTTGTAAAAATCGTCTCCGGAGTAATAACACCTTCCAGTGCGGTAAGCATAATTGTCTTCGGTGTCTCGACCTATGACATATTTTGACAATGAATAAGATAACAAGAAGAGAACAACGAACATTTGAATTGTTTTTCACATTCAGAAAGTTCTTGATATAAAAACAATTTGACTTCTTTATGAGAATATTTTTCAAACAAATTTCATGCCTTTTGGAAATTACTTTTGAAATTACGAGTAACACAAACACTAAGTTATTTAACAACTTTTGAAAATATATTTTTTTTCAACAATCATATTTGTTAGTTTTTTGAAAGACAATAAATTAAATAATAATAAAAATTATTATATATTATAACATTTGTTATTAATTATAATTTTTGTTAATAAAACATATTTAAAAAGTAATTTTAATAATAAAATTGAACAATTTATTTATTTAAATATGATATCATTGATCATGAATTTTAAATAAAAAAAATTTTTGACTTGTTATAATAAAACACGTTAAAATTTAATTAACAAATTTTATGTTTCTTAAAAAATGTTCTCAAAAAAAATCTCAAATATTAAAATGATATACTTTTGATTTAATTCAATTCTCTCGTTGGATTAACCTAGTTTTCCACATTTAAAACTAAATGTATTTTTATAATAGAAATGCATAAAAGTGTTATTGTTAAAATATTTTTTTTTTCAAATTTATTTACTAATTCAAATTAACAATTAGTCATTTTCATTTTACTCAAAACAGTATATAAATTACTACTCGATTAAATAACATCCATCTTAAATATTTCCCATTACTTGGCCAAGTATTAATTCAAATAACTATCTGTTTCTAAATTTTTTTGTTTACAAAAGTCGGCTTTAAGCTCGCCGCTAGATCTAAAAGAACTAAATGAACATAAATTTAAGACCACTTTAATGACGTGGCAAATAACAAAGAAATTTGGTGGTCTTAAATTTATGTTTAAATTTAAATAACAGAAAAAATAACACTTTGTCACGTGATAGACCCTGGTCAGATAGAAAGTTGTTTCAAATCTGACAAATTAATCAACAAAAAAATAAATATTAAATAAAAATCATAATTTATTTGAAACGATCAATAATTATTATTCATATTGTTCTATTTATTTAACAGTTTTGTGTTTATTTTATAACACAACAACAAAAGCATTATCTTAGTTTTTAATTATGTTAATTATTGCTCCTTTGTACATCAACTTTAATAAATTTATATTTATGACAACTATTATTTTGTAACGCAAAAAAATTAATAGTTTATTTTCTGTCTTAGCCTTTTTTCAATCTATGAGCTTTTGTTATATTTTTTATTAATATGGAATATGAATGCATTTAATACAATATCCTTGATTAATTATTATAAAAAAGCATAGAAACATGTTTCGTAAACAACAACCACGTTTTCACTTGTTCATACAACAAAAAAAAAATTATTGTTTAATATAACATCGTTTGTTTATAACGTGAAGCATTCATATTACATAATAGTACAATTATGATTTGATAACTAATAATCATATACATTTTTTATATTATAATTTAGATATAGCAATACACCAACAAAATAATTCTTTACCAAAAAAACAAAATTTAAAAACTTTCAATTTATAATTTAATATATGGGTAATTTTGATTAGTGTTTATAAAATGTAAATAAATACAATTTTTGGCTTTAATTTATCTATCGGGATATTGTATTACAAAAAGTTCAATATATAGAGACACAACCGTAATTAAATAGACAAATAATAATTTAAATTCATTACGAATTTTATCTGGGTATATATTTTTTAATAATTGTTTTTTAAATAATAAAATAATAAAGTTTTTTTTAGTTGTTAATAGAAGAACATAACAAAAATTGAAAACATAAAATGTTTAAATTAGAGGTATTTGATACCAGTTGGTACGATGGGTTCTGAAGTAACACCACAGGTATTACCTTCCATCGCCATCAAGATGTAGCCACTTTCGCCCCAGTTTGTTCCCCAAGAGTTCTTCACTATCCAATATTCTTCACCATTTAACTTTCCATACCCTACTGCTGCTATTTCATGGTTTAAACTGAAAAGAGAAGTTTTACACTTTGTGTCATGATACACTCCACTCTTGTACAATGAGAACATAGGAGAAGAGGCATCTATCGAAACATCGACAACTCCATCTACAAGTGCACTTTTAAGCGCGTCATTATCCTTTCTGGTTATATATTTGTATCCTTCAATTGTTGCAAATTTCTTTGTTAGATCAACTCCACAATTTCCTTCTGTGGCAGTGTATGGGTAGTCCTTCTCTTGTACAACGCCGTTTTCCTTGATGTAGTCATAAACAATAGATCCTGTTCCTCCATTGCAACCATTATTGGCAGAACATCTCATTATTTGTTCTTCAGAAAGGTCAAGTGTGTTTTCATTACCACCCAAGAAAAGAAGTCTTCCTTCTAAGGAAGCAAGAGCACCAAATGAATAACAACTTCCACACGATTTTTGGTCTCTTACCTTCGTAACTTTACCTTGTTGCCTCAAATCGAGTGATTCTGGGAACATTTTAAGTGCCTCTTTTGAATGTGGTTCAAAATAACTTTCTTTTATATTGGGTTTGTGAGATAGAGTCGAGAGATATTCTTGGTGTGTATGTGCAGCAAAAGGACCATCAACCCCAAGCTTAAATTTGTTAAGTTTGTTGAATTCATCAACAAATCTAGCATTTTGAACAAATATAGCGCGACGTCTGAGTGATTCAACAGCCGAAAAACTTTTATTGAATTTGATTAACCAACTATCAAAATCAAATGCACTTGAGATAACAAGAATGCAAAACAGATGGAACATATGTAATTGAAAGTTTGGACGCCTTTTTATGGTATTATTTGAGAAAAAGCAATCAAACTGAAAAAGTCAAAGCGCTGTGAATAAAGGTATGTTTTATTTTTTAATCCATATATTTTGTTAAATTTAGAAATTAATTTAAGTTTGATGTTCAACCTTGTTATTTAAAACCATATATATTTATTGGTACTATTCACAAATATAAAAAATAATTAAAAATTGTTAATATGTTTAGAAACATCATACATGTGTTTACTTTTTTATTGTCAGAAGAAATTTCCTTTTTACTTTCCTTTTCGTTTAATACTTTTGTCAATTGTATACAAATTAAAATAATATTATTTTTATTATAACCCATGGATGGTGTTAAAATAACACATTTAAAATTATTTATAACTTTTTTCAGAAAACATGAAAACGTTTCACGTCTTTAAAAAACTTTAATAACAAAGAATAACATTGAAATCAATGATTACAAAACATTTTGTACAAAAACCAAAAAAAACTATTTTGTTAGAGTGATTGAAAAATACATTGAAAAATCGGGAATTAATACCAAATCAACAAAAATGATTATAAAAAACATGAAATTATAATATAAAATTAAATAGAAAAACAAACTCAAATTAATAGAAATAAATATAATGAACATCAACACAATCGATGCATATGCAAGGTTTTTAAGTGGTTCCGTTTTTGGGTATATCGGTATTATTGAGACGAGACAGTTGCTATTTGGTATTGACAATTCTGTGTTAAAAAAACACATTTTCAATGTATTGATCAATAATTATTTAACATTTGTACCAATATTTGGGTATGATCATTTTGTCTTATTTGTCATTGATTATCATAATCGTCGTGCAATTTTGTTTAATTCTTTAAATGATTATCATGATGCATTTTATTTGTCAGTTGGGGTTGATATTCTTGAATTGTTTGGATTTGGATTTGATATTTATTTAGCAAGAGGAATTTCAAGACAAAATGACAGTGTTTCATGTGGTCTTTTTGTATGTCATTATATTGCATTAATTGTGCAATTTGATAATTGTAGGGAAGCAATGAAAGTTTATCCACACAATTTAGAATTAATAAAAAGGTTGGCTATTTTGGTTGAAACACACAGTCCACATTTAACTATACAAATGAAATATCATTTTCCCCAAATAATCAACAGTGAAGACAAATACATAATTCACTCTAATCCTTTTAAAATAATGCAATCTCAACACAAAATTCAAAAGTGCACACCAAAAAGTGATACTGAAAACACCGATATTGGAAGAGGGGATAAACGTGTCAAGAAAGACACCAAGAAAAGTCTTAAACTCAAACATGATGAAATAGTATCTCAAAAACAATTGAATGACACCGAAAATAAGAACGTGTTTAATCTATTAGAATTTAAAAATGTACACAATGAATGTAACTGTGAACCTAAACGGAATAGTCACATCACAGATTTTTTCTTAAATATGAATATTGAAGAAGTTGTTGACTACTTTATTCCAACACATTTGTTAACTGATATACAACTCTACACAAATACATACGGTCATTACTGTGTATTTATTAACAATCTCGATGATAAAAAGAAAAAACAATCTTGGAACAACGTTGAATTGTCAGATATTAAAGCCTTTGTTGGAATAAGCTTGATACAAGGTATTTATCGAGAAACAAAAATTAGTCAACGAGAAGTCTGGTATGGAATCAACAGCAGAGAAATATATCGAGCAACCTTTTCTCTCAAAAGGTATAAAGAGCTTTTGAGATGTCTCCGTTTTGATGACATTATTAACCGAGCTTTAAAACCTAAAGAGATATCAAAAGAAAATTGGAATGTGTTTATTAACAACGAAAGTGTTATACGAGAACAATTATATGAACAACAAAGAAGAATGGAACCTGCAAGTTCAGAAGAAACGTCATCTGATGAAATTTCCGAATCAAGTGAAACATCTACTTCAAGCCAAACAGACACGGAAACTCTGAGTAGTGATAACTCGGAATCATCAGAAGACGCTAAAAATGATACAACTTCGAACTCTGAACACCAAAGTGTATCTCAATGTTCATTATTTTTTGAACAAGATTTGATTTACAATGGTGATGATTGGGATAATTATTATAAAATTAAGAAAATCGTAGAAGTTTTTAGAGATCGTTTTGTATCTTTGGGAGGTCAATTGTCATATCATCAGAATTATCTGTAGATGAAAACCTGTCTCGTTTTTTTGGAAAATATCAAAACAAAATGAAAATGCCAAACAAACCCGCCAAATCCGGTTTCAAATTTTATCTACTTGTTGATCCAACGAATAACACTATTTTGAATATATTTCTTTATAGAGGAAGCAACAATGGAAAAACAGTTGAATGTTTGGGACAAAGCAGTAATAGAATTGGTAAAGCCTTTTCGAGAAAAAACATTCACTGTTTACACCGATCGTTTTTTTACTTCCATTGAACTTGGTAAAATACTTCAATTGGAAACAAATGGAGCAATTGGTATTGTAGGTACAATTAAAGCAAATAGAAAAGAAGTTCCCAAAATTCTTAAAACAAAAGAAAAAAGAGAAAATGGGTCTCTAATAATTGGCCAAACCGAAGAGGGGTTTACTTTAAGTAGCCTTATCGAACACAACAAAAATGTGTTAATTCTGTCAACACCAGATACAGAAGTTCATCTTGTCCAAATTGAAAAGAAGGCACCAATTAACTATAATTCGAATATACAACAAACTTACCTTGATTTGATTAGAACCAATGTAAACCACAGATATAACAAATACATGGGAGGTGTTGATGTTGTAGACGAAATGGCCAAACGGATTGAGATGAAAAGAACAACAAGACGCTGGCCACTTGCAATGTTTTGGTATTTACTTGGTTTTGCGTTTAATAACATTTACACTGTTATAAAAGCTCAGAAAACATTTAACGGAAATCGTAGGGTAAAAAGGATTAAAGAGTTGGAAAATCTTGCAATGAAGTTGGTGAGTGAAAATATACAAAAGAGAAAAGTTAATAGAAACTCGAGATCTGGAGTTTTTTCTTTTTTGAGTATTTCAACTCATAGAGTAGTTGTTTTAAACGAATTGATGAAGAAAAGAAAAACAGGAAACTGCATCATGTGTTTAAAATACCGAAAAAGTAGAAATTGCATATCACATAATTGTTGCAAATGCGGCGTGAAATGTTGTTTGAAACATTCGTTGAGAAGACTTGTGTGTTTTGATTGTTTGGGATTGAGTAGTGAAGACATCAAAAACGTTTATTCAATAAAAAGTAGAACAAATTGACTTTTGATATCGTTGACTTATTTGACTTGTTAATAATGAGTAAATAACACAATTAACATACTTTTTTGTTGCACTATAGATTTAAACGCGAACGATTGAATAAATTAATATTTTTAAACGTGTTGACTGCTCGTTAAAAAGTCTCTAATTATCGTTGTCATAATAGTAGTACTGTTTTCAGTTCTTTACAAAAATGTATTTTTAAAAATAGTTTGCATTACTCAAGAAATGCCAGTGTTTCCCGCAAAAAAATAGTTAAAATGAGCCAATTTTTACAAATTGAAAAACGACAAAAAACATTCAAAGATCATTGTCAAAAATATCGAATTTTTAAAGTTGTTGTTAATTGAATATTTGAAATTGTTCTAATAATACTGTTATCGGTGTTTTATGCAAAGAAATATTTATATTTGTTATTAAAATAATTTAGAAATTGTCTATTATTATCATCATTTTTTTAAAAAAAATAATTATGAAAATTAATGCTATTAGGCCATCCATGGGATAATTTATAGTAAAAATAATCACGTTTACAAATTGAAAAAAGATTGAGTTTTGAAAAGTAAATAAATTATACCTATTATTAAAAACAGTGAGATAAAATAAGTTGGTTTAACAAATAAATTACTAAATTTTTCTTTGTTGTGTGAAATTTCTAATTGGGTAAAAGTCCAATTTCATATTGTCGAGAAATTTCTTTTTTGATGAACTTAATATAACAAAAAATTTAATTTTTTAACTTGTTTTAATCATTGATGTGCATGAGTGTTAAATAAAAAATAAATGTAGTGTTATCAAGAAGCATTTGTGGTCTAAGGGCATAATTCCACTCTTCCAAGGTGGAATTTTGTGTTGGAGTGCCAATAAATGCATTTTTATCAAACAAATGGGTTATAACTGTTTTAATTTATAGTGTTAATATATTGTGACTATCTGGATAACCAAGAAAATACCCAACTTTGTCAACCAAATTAATTATTTAAGAATTAGAAATTAAAAAAATGAATGAACAATTTATGTGTTTTGTTGAGCTTCGTTAATTGTTACATTTTTGAACTAAAAAAGTGAATAAAATTATAATATATGTACGTCTTCCCAAAGTGTTTAAATACGACAAATAAGATTCGAGTTTGGAGTTTTAATCATATATTCGGTTTTTAAAGATATTTCAATGATAATAAAAAACAATATGATAATTCGTGATATATGTTTTTTGGACACCCTGGTCGACAAAACTAAATCACATTATAATTGTATATTACTTATGAAACAAAACAAGAAATATTACACTTATTTGAAAGTGTAGTTTATATAAATAACATCTTATGTTGTTGTTTTTGTAAGTATAACACTTAAAAATAGGTATAAAAAACAACGTGGCCGAGTGGTCCAAGACGTATGACTCGAAATCATTTCTCATTTGAGGCGTAGTTTCAAATCCTGCCTTTGTCGTTTTGGATTTTTGTCACCTGAACAACTTCAATTTCATTTTTAATAAAAGTTTAATTTAACCAAAATACTTTATATTATTTATTAATTAATTCAAACCAAAATAAACAATTATACTAATTATTTACAAACTTTGTTTATAATGAATAATATTGGTATGTTGATTATTTTTAATAAATTAAAAGTGTTATATTAATAATAACTATATTATTAATATATTATATTATATAATAAACCTAAACTATATTCTGTTATTACAACAATTAATATAAAGTATTAATATTTAAGTATGACTTGATAATTGTATCGAATGAAATAATGTATAACTTTTTAATTTCATAAAACTATTTCAAATTTGTCTTTTACAAAATACACATGACCATGTCAATTCAATCTAATAAGTACAACAAAAACGTCTTTGCTGATCCAACACAAATAAGGTATTGTCTTCCAATACCAGAGGCACTACTATGTGCTAAAATGGAATGCCTTAACCGCCACCTTTTTTTCACTGAATATCCAAATCCATTGCCAAAGAAATTTATTCCTCTTCCTTTTCCAAATAAATTTCAAAAAATTCGTTCAAAAATAATTTCAACAATTTTTGGTCAAGCTGTCGGCGATGCTGTTGGTTTTTTAATTAAATTTCTTTCTAAAGAACGAGCCGAATTGATTTATAAACATGAGAGAATCATATTTTCATGTTATTTAAAAGATACTCATCGTTCCAAATAAATGAATATGGACTAGAAATGTGTAAACTGGACTGACGACACCGATCATCAATTCTTTAGAAGCAAACAATGGAAATTGTGTTCCAGAAGATTTTGCAGCACGTTGTCTCTATTGGTACGATTTCGGGTTTTCCAAAGTAAGCGATATAAAGTCGTCATGTTGGCATTTACACGCGAAGTGTTTTATTGTCTCAAAACTTCAACAAAACGCCCATCAAAAATTCGATGGAAGTTTGAGGAAATAGAGTATTGACTGTACTGGAAAAGTTAATAAATAAAGCAAAACATTGTTTTTAAATAATGCGATTTGAGTATAGTAGGAGGAAATATGGGATGCAACTATTGATTATTTTTAATACTATAAATTATAATATTAATACTTATTCAAATAATTAGTTATATGAAAAACACAAAAATAAATTTATATTTAGATTAGTATCCTTCTATTTCTCAGCATCCCATCAGAGTGTCCAAAAAACGTCTAAGTCCCAAGTTAAGAAAAGGTCAAAAAAATTGTTTTGAAATAATTGATTTTTTACTTTCTTGCTTGATTTGTTTATAACAAATGAAAATCCATGAAGGCTTGGTAAACAATTAATAAAATGTTATTTAAAACAATAAAAATTTACTAAAACAACTTTATTAACAAAAATTAACACTGTTAAGTGTCGTTTTTGTGTGTATGAGTGCGTCAATTATATCGACCTGTTTAAACAAATTGGATCGATTATATTTATAAAGGCGGGTCGTCTTGCCTTCATATATACGTAACTAATGTTATTATTTAAAATCGATTCTCGGTATCATTTTATCGAGAAATTGAGTCTCTTATGTTCAGGAAGTGTTCTTTTAATTTTTTAAATTGTAATATGTGTTTTACATTTTATTTTTATTGTTCTTGTAGAGAACAGTAAAATAACGGGAAATTCGATAAATTACAAAATCCAGTTTTAATGAATATTAGTTCTTTTTTTCTTAAATTTTATCAAAATGATATTATATTTTTTGATTTAATTCCTTGGATTTTTTGGGAAATTTCGTAAATGTGTATAATTTGTTTCTTGTTTTATTATATTATTGTTTTTGTAAATTGAATAATGTGCTTAAAATTGCTGATGTTTTTAATTTTATAATCGAAAAAGTGATAGTGTTTAATTTAATTTTTCGGGAAAAACATCGGAATAAATTATGTTCAATTTGATTGTAAATTTTCGGGATAAATTATAATTATTTTTGTCTCCTTAAAAAATCCAATTTTTTTTTCATTTTTACTCCAAAATCCTTAACTTAAGACTTAAGTGCATTTTTTTGGACACTCTGAATCCCATCTTTGTCGTGACTGTAATTATATTATTCTTATATAAAATATCACACAAAAAATTCCTTGATTATTTATAATAACTTTTAAAGACTCAATTAAAATTAATTTAATCTTTTTTCAAAACAATTTGTTTTCCTTCTTTAAACACTTTAAGTTTTTCTGGCTTGTATGATAGACAGGTATTAAAGTCGATATTATCAACGTAAAGTGTGTTTTTCAATTCAATGCCATCATGAACAAAAGTAAAACCAAATCCCCAATCCCCAATCACGACTTTTTTCAACACATTTTCTTCCACTCTCAATCCATAAGCGTTACAGCGTTTTATTTTCATATATTCTATTTTAGCATTATTAGTGACGATTGTAGCATTTTTATTACTAACTGAAATAACTTTGATTGAGTCTGGTATCGACAATTTACCACCGAACTCATTAATGTCTATTTTTCTTAGTGTAGTTGCTTTCCTCAAATCAAGTGTGTACTCTTGGTTATCTTCTATAGCTTCATTGCAGTCTATAGACAAATCGTAGAGCAGCATGTCGTTGACCATTTTGCATATTTTTTCACTGTCGTTTTTATCCACAGCTTGCATCATGAATACTTTATGACTTGGCGCAAATGGTATTTCCAATTGAAAATCATAATAATACGTAAACATTGATAAAAGTGGATTACACTTGTTTTGGTTGTAAAAAATATTGATTGCTCTCACATCTTCTTCATTATAAATGTAGTATTGATTGTAGTAATCACGAGTTTCACCGCGTTCGACGTATAAAGTCACTTTGATATTTCTAACAAGTAAATTTAAAATGTCTTCTTTGAGTTGCAAAATCTGATCTATTGTAAGGTATAAAGTAACTTCTTGAAGGGTCTCCAACGAAAACGTGTTTTTCGGATAACGGTTGTAACCGTTACACAAGTTGTTTAAAATTGACAACCGTTTTAATTTTGTGAGCTCAGAAACATTATTTTCAATGAAAGGGTCACCATCTACATAAGACAAATCCGTTACTAAATTCAATATTTTTGTGTCGTTTAACCAATTAATACTTCCTCGTTTAAAATTAATTGTTTTCAAATTAAGGAAAAGGTTCATTAAATAATCATATATATTATAGTTATCAAAATTGGTGCTATGAATAACAAGGGTTTCCACCTTTGGAAAAAGTTTCGACGTTTTAGTTAATGTTTTTTTATTATGTTTAATTTTGTATGGAGTCGTGTATAAAGAATTTACAGCATCGAGACACAACTTGTTTACATGGATAAAACGTTCAATAATTTCCAAATCCATATAAAAGACAACATTCATGAGGTATACTCTTTCAAGTCGCATTATTATCCAAATAAATAGTGTTCTTCTATTTAATGTTTATATAGAGTTATTAATCATTCATGTGTTTGTTAATGAGTATATCTAATCAATTTTGCTTATCATTCTCAAAAACAACAATGACAATGTTTTAAAAAACAAAAATTGGCTGTTTGCTTTTTCACGTGTTTTGATATAAAGAGGCTGAAAAAAGATGATGTTGGCAAAAGTGGGTAATAAGTGGTAAAATGTTTTTTAAATAATATTTTGTTATTTGTTTTTTCTTTCTTCAACAAAAATAAAACCATCATTACCTCTTTGCCTGAGTACTTTTTCGAAGTGTTTTGAATATGTTGTTAATAATTTATTTATAGGGAGAATAGATTATAAACTGTATTTCAAAACTCTGTACTGTTTCCAAATTTTATATAAACCCTTTGTCCTAATTTCCCATTATTTACTGTTTTTTATTTGTTTTATTTTTCATTTTCCTATTTGTTGGACCAACAACGGTACACAGTTTAAAACCCTTAAAAACCAATACAGTTTCAATTATTGAACAAAAAAATCGGGAAATCACCCAAATATTGGGCAAATCTTTCCCGATTTTCCAGGTTCGTTTTTTTGGTTAGTGATCCATTTTGTAACTAAACATGATTATAATTGTATATTTCAAACAAACACAAGATAAACAATAATATAACAAACAAACAAATGATGGTTTGAAGACATTATTGCATCAAATGATACAACACTTAAATTAATAATAAGTTTTTGTTAATTTCAACAATTAAAATAATAGCCATCAATAACATAAAACAAACATTTAAACAATCAAGACCATTCATCACAACAGTCTAAAATAAAATAAACAGTTCATAATAAAAAATAAAACTTTTCAATTGTAAAATCTTAAACAATTTTTTAAATGCTGGTTTTACTCATTAGTACTTTTCATTTTTATCCAGAACACGACTTGGTGATTCTATAAACACGGACATTGAATTAAAAAGTTGTGTTTTACGTTTTTAAGCAAAACTTGTGTTATGGTAATCAAAATTTTGATCCCAAGTTTGTTTGTTATATTTTTCAAGTAAATTTTTGGTGCAAGATTTATTTGTCAAGTAAAATTTAAAAACGTCAGGTTCGTTATTTTGTTTTTTTCGAGTAAATATTTATAACAAAAAATGAGGGTTAAGCAAAAGAAAAATTATTTAGAAATTATTTGTCTAAAAAATCGGGGCATCCCAGTACAGAGTTTTGAAAAACAGTTTAGTTTAAAAAAAACACGAAAATCGTTAGTTGATTCATATTTAAACCATGAGTTTCAATTTTAATAAAAACTTATTAAAAAACGATTATATTATTTTATATAAATACAACAACACAATTGATAAAAGTTTTAAGATAATTAATTTTTTAAACTGATTGTGTTTAGTATCAATGGTATTTTTGTATTAAATACACTCACCTTTCCACGACACAGAAAATAAATGTTTTTGGCAACTCCGCCTCTTGCATGTATAACACCATTCATTTATCTTTATTAAATGATACATTTTATTTTATTTAATTATTACTCTTCTTTAAACTAGGCGGAGTAAAAAGGTGCATAAATGGCACAAAACGGCAAGCTAAAAATAGAAGGTCGGCTATTAATATGAATACAAAAATGTTACAATAGTCAAATTTATCAATAAATATTAAAATAAAGTCGACCAGAAAATTGTCGTACACTTCCTAAAATAGATTTGTGAACATAAATTACATTTTTTAAAGAAAAGTTAAAGATAATTTCTTTATACTTTCTCGTTTAAAGAAACAAATCGAAGCTGTTTTCAAATCAAAAAAGTTGAACTTTTATTGAAATGTATAAAAAGATTCAAACTGTTTAGAGAATATAACATTTATAACACTATTCATAAACAATCAATAAACTATTCAATAACAATTCAATTATTTATTCCGAATATAGGTGGTTAAATTAACGAAAAAACGATAAATGTACTATTTTTAATAATTTATTTTTTATACATTATTATCAAACATTTAGAAATAATAGTGTTAATTAAAAATATTGAATTAAATTTAATAGTATATAAAATAATTTTATCATATAATCGAACTAGACTTGTATATTTTTATAACGAATTAACATGTAAATTAAGATTTTGGTATGTTATTATTAACAATATTATTTACATTAAATTAAGATAACCACAAATTATTACAAATTTTAACAATCTTATCAATATACAAATCATTAATTATAATTATAACATCATGAAAACAAATCACGTGAAACCAAAGCCACTTTACGAACATTTCAATTACTTTTTATTTATTTCTCCATTTTTTGAATTGAATGTATATTTCGATTTGTAATTATGGGGTTATGTTAAATGATAATAATAAATAGCTTTGATATAACAATTAAACTATTCTTTTGAATGTTAAATTTTACAAAAAGACATTAATAATATACTATAATTGTTTAATAAATATTATTATTGTTTCAAAAAAACATCACCTGTTTTATAATTTATGTATAACATAGTTATTAATAATTAGAAAAACTGAATTCATTTACTATATTGTTGATATTTTTGGTCTGATCAGACATTTTTTTTCAATAACTTCTCGTGTATTGTTTAATGTTAAAAGCCAAGAAAACACTTATAAAATGCACACAATATACTCATTTATTTAGTTAATATCATGTTTGTAATTTAATTGATATTATCAAAAACAATAAAAGTTGGTCAATTTTAAAAGCAATTCAGTTCTTATTATAATATTTTATCAAATAATTTGTTTTGTGTTTATGGTTTGTATTTAACCATCGGTTCTAAAGTAATGATTGTGTATAAGCAAGATTATTTGAACAGTGAAAATGTTCATATTAAAATCACAAAGAAATGGGTTTAACTTTGTTATAAGTTGTTTCAAATTAATGTGTTTTAGCAAATTTTGTTTAATGACAACTTGAACAATAGTACAAAAATTATAATTCAGCTACAGTACAAATTAGGGGTTTTATGCTTAAAAATATGTTTTTATTGTCACTGATAAGTGCTTGTTTTTTTCTTAAAATTTTACAAAAAACACAAGTGATAAAAAATACTGTTCATATCAGCTTTGCACGTCTATCGTTATAGTTTAGTCCTTGAACAAACAATGTTCAGGACAGTTTTTTGTATGTGTTGATATTTAAATAATTTCATAATATTTTATTTCGATAAAAACAACAAAAAAAATTTTAAAAAATAACAAGTTCACTCTTCAAAATTTTAATTATGTTGTTAAAAATAATAAATGTTACATTTGTGATGCTAAACACTTGTTTCTTGATGAGGCACCTTTGTTCATTTACGATATGAAAGTTGAGTTGAGTATATATGGTGGTATCAATGGTGTTCTATTTTTATGAACTTTGTTTAAAAAACACATTTCAAAAAATATGATATTGTTATAAATTATTCAAACTATACCGAACTATACTTGGCAATAACAATAATTGAAAAATAACAAAAAAACAATTTATAAAAAATGATAATCTTAACAACATATAAATTTTCAAAGAATTTAATTTCGTAAAAAAGAACAAAAAAATACATCAAGAATGATTTAAAGCATCATTTGGAAGAAAAAAAGATAAAAAAATAATTAGTTTATAAAATCAAAGTGAAAAATGAAATTTCTTTGAGTAAAATTATTTTTAAAAAAATAAATTCTATTTTAGGAAGTGTACGAGTATTTTCTGGTCGACTTTAGGAGAGCTTACTCATGAACGTCATTTGAGTGAGCAGAATTATTTATTTTTAGAAAAATAAAAATTTTTTTCAATTAAAATTTTTTAACATTGTTTCACCAAATAATTCACATTTTTCTTTTGTGGCATAACAACAAAATAACAAAAAAAGGTTTTATGATTTTTACTTTCTAAATTTGTGGTATGTTAAAGTTTTACAATCATCATCATATGGAGAAAAAACATTTTCAAAGTGTCAGTTGAACCTTTCAAAAACATTCGACAATGATAATAAATTAAATAATTCTTCGAAATCTACTCTGTTTAAATTTGCCAATAAATTAAAAAATTTATTGTCATTATATTGTCAGTAAAATTCACTTTTATTTCACTTTCGACAATTTTTTTTCAATTTCACTATTATCATTGAAAAATTCAATTTATTTTATTAATCAACACAACCTCATTTTTTTCTAAAATGTTCACCTAATTAATTTTTGTTGGTTTTTTGACTAAAATTTACTTGTTAAAAATGACTCATTCCAATTGAAACTTTATTGTTTTCATTAACTCCCATTTTTAAATCACCATTACCACCAACTATATCAAATAATAATTGTGTATTTGAATTATAATAAGATTTGAGACCAACAACTTCTTTTTGTTTGTTGTAAGATTCGATTGATTGTTTTTGTACCTTGTTTCTTTTTTGGCCTTACCATTTTCTTTGTTTTGTTTCAATGTTAATAGAGGTTGAGTTGCGCCCAAGTGTTGGTTACTTTGATGTTTCGTTGTCAATCATTGTGTGTTTAATGTATTCGTTTTTTATTCGTTTTTATTTAAACACACGTCTAGTATATTTTTCTGTTCATCAGACCATATTAGTATATTTGTTAGAGTCATTGTGTCTCTTTTTGAATTTTAAGTAATTGTATATTTTTTTGTTAATATTAAAACAGTAAAATATTTTTCCTATCAAATTACAGCTGAATTCAAAAAAAATCTATATTTAATTAATTGATAAAAATAGTTT